GAAGGTCTGACTGAATTTTTTTTTAATTGGTGGTGGTCACATGGTTTTTCTTTTGGGCTGCAGGGTGGATGGCAGCCTCCCAGCTGATTGGCCCTGTAGGTTAATTCACACTTTCAGAACGTCCCAGGTGATTAGTGTGGCCCCCAGTCAGGCCCTTGCAGCTTCCCCACCCTGAATGGCAACCCCAAGGGGGTGGGGGTGGGGTGGAGGGCAATGGGGTGGCTTGGGGGGGCAGTCAGTGGTGGGATTTGCTGGTTGGCTGAACTAAGCAGAATCTTAATATCCAGTTTGCTTGAACCAGTGCAAACTGACTGCAGCCCACCACTGGTAATAACATATCGTATAATGCCAACTTTTTGTAATCATATATATCAATCATTATTATAACAACAAACCTATCTAATCAACAAAACCTAAAATCAAAGTTTCATTTTTGACACCTCAAGGACTAAGTCCAGAAATGGTTTCCAAGTGGAAACAAAGTTAGCTGTGCCCTTTGATTAAAGCAGTAAATTTAGCCATCTCTGCTAACTCCATCAGCTTTTGCAATCAGTCGCCCATTGTGGAAATCAAAGTATCTTTCCGTTTTTGTATGATTCATGACAAGTCTTGATAATGTGAAATTAAATATGTATCATATTTTAGGGAATCTTACCTGGCGGCCCTGGAAGACCCTGTTCACCTTTTTCTCCCTTCTGACCATGGTAGCCTGAAATAGAAACTGGCATAAGGCTTGGCACCCCAAGAACTACTGAGAAAGCATCGCATTCCAAACCCAAGTGAAATCTAACACAAAACCAAATGTTTAGAAACTGCTCATTTAAACAGCCCTGTAAATATAAGCGTAAATTGTGGCTTCCTTTAAAACAAAATTATTTAAAAATTTTAGGTTTTAAACAATGTAACGATTCTGATACAAAAACTACTAGATGGGGGGAAAGTTATTTTTTTTTAAATGGCAACTCAAGACATTCCGAGAAGGGAAAAGGGAAAAAATTATTACATTTCTATCACAGTATTGCCCACTTGGGTTCCTCCCAAATGTTTTGAATCACATCTTCCATCAGTCTCAGCCAACGGAGCCCATATGCAGGGTTAGTGGAAGCAGGAATCCAACAATCCAGCATAGCTGGCTGGGGAATTCTGGGAGTTGAAGTCCACACATCTTAAAGTGGCCAAGGTTGAAAAACACTGCCCTATTGCAACTAGCCCTCAATTCAAGGGTAAAACATGGGCGAGAACCCCCATGGTTGTAGGCCTTCTTGAATCCATCTCCCTCTTCTTTTATCCAGATCTACCACTTTCTTACCAGGCAATCCTGGAGGTCCTGGAGGGCCCAAATCACTAAATGCCTGAAACAACAACAACAACAACAACAACAATAAAGTTTCTACCAGAGCATGTGGCTGTAAAGAAAATTAGGCATTCCATTTTCTGCCCTAAAACAATATATCCCCTTCGTTTCCTGGAATATGAGGTGTATTTTAGCTATTACTCACATTATTCTCATAAACCGGTACAGGGCTGCCTGGGGGGCCTGGAGGCCCTGGGGGGCCAGGAGGACCCTAGGGGAAAAGGGGGAAAAACATGACATTCATTACATTTAATAGGGTGAAATATTAAACAGAGGACCGAGGGAATGCAATACATCAGCAGCCACTCAACTCTACCTAAACACAATAGAAAGAAATGGAAAGTATCATCGCCAGCGAAATCTTGTTCCAGCTTTATCGTTTGCAGCATAGGCAACGATGAAAACATACAATTTTGTGTATCATTCCATCAGTCATAGATTAAAAAAATAAAATATAATTGCTGCCTGCAGCTTTGCAAAGAATTCAGCAATATATCCCTTTTCATTAGTCTGCACTGGCAGATGGCTGCTTACTCAGTGTGTTTGAGAAATCTGTGGAGATTCATATCACTGGATAAGAACATGGGGACCCACAAGTGGAGTCATTGCTGCTTCTTTTCTCCCTGACTGTGTGCTGCTTCCCATTGCTTAGACCTCAGGCAACCAAAGGGGAGAGCAGACTCTTCAGAGCAAACTGTATTCATTGGTGGGATTCAGTCAGTTCGCACCACTTTGGGAGAACTTTCTGAGCAGTTTGGTGAACTGGTTGTTAGGGCAGAGAACCGGTTGTTAAATTATTTGAATCCCACCACTGACTATATTCCCTATGAAGTTGTACTTTTGTAGTAGAGGGACTTGACTGTCAAAAAGCTTGGCCAAAACATCGAGTAATTGTCTATGCTGGCCCAAAGTAAATGAAGGCTACATTTGATGTTGTTGTAACTTCATCTTTTTCTCTCCCCGCCCCCCCCCCACTTCTTTCAATAATAGAACTTGAGAAGCTTCACTAAATACTGGCTGAACGCAGACAGCATCGCTGCCCACCATCCTTCAGCCTAAGGTGCAATATAATTATGTCCCTCTAAGTCAGGCTTGACTCTGGAAACTGGTTGGCTATATCTCTACAGATTTTTTGGCAAGAGTTTTGAAAATCATTTGCCACTGCCTCCTTCCTAGAGCTAAAAATGAGGGGCTGGATTGAGGCCACCCAGCTAGTCTACTTTTCTAAGGTGGGGCTAGAACTCAAGATCTGTTGATTTCTAGCCTGACGCCTTAGCCACTATACCAAATTCCAGCTTTTTGGAATTGTATTCAAATGGATTTAAATGGAACTGACAAAAAATCTGTA